TGATAACTGTGTATTTCGGGAGGGCAGGTCTGTCACAGACAGGGCCAAGAGAAGCTGCCCCTGACAAAATTCCCTCTTCTGCTCAGTTATTAGCAGTACCAGAGTCTGGCCTTCCACTGAGTTACGATGTTCTAACGATCGGTTAACCAACTTCGGCCAGGGCAGCTGACTCTCCTGGAATCCACCCAGAAAGAATCTAAAATATTGGTATCTTGAAATGTATGTAAATGTATGCAAATATGAACTCCGCCACCTAATACAGTTTGCCTGTACATGTGTACAGGCGAATCTACTACCTTATCGTTTATCTACTACCTTATTTTTTAAAAGTAGGAAGTGCAACTTTGTACATTGCAAAAGCTTCAAAGGCCGTGGTCAGATGTGCCACCTGGTGCAGAGGGGAAGCCAGCCTATTCCCCCCCCCCCATCCCGGTTGAAATTGACAAGGTATTGTTCAATCACACAGCCTTTGGAGCTGCTGGCTCAGCCCGTCACTGCCTGATCAGACGGCATGTTCAGCCGAGTGGGGTTTTTTTGGTCTTTTGTTTCCCATGTCCATAAATGAGAAATCACACCTCCGCACGGAGGGTTCCCCATGGAGTATGCGGTTCTGCACATACTCTTAAGCGAGGGGGGGGGGAAACAGCACCAAGTCGAGATGGAATGAGCAGACCATCCTAACAGCATGAGAGCATGCTTGAGTTATCAGATCGGGGAAAGTCCATCTGTAGCCCGTTGGCAAGCATTAGGACAAGACTTTCCCAGGCGTTTTTAAAACTCCGCTTCTGTGGCGGAGCAGTACGGGTTGCTGCCGACTGCGGGAGCTTCCCCAGATGTTGCTGTCTGAACATGCCCTTTAGACCCCATCAGGCATTCACAGATCAGTCAGTCTAAAGGCACATCTGACTGCAGCATAAGAGAGTCTAGGAGCTTCTCCTGAGAAACTGTACATACTTTGCAAATGAAAGCAAAATAAAAACAAAACCCGCATTTCTTCTTAAGCAAAAACAATGGCGCTTCTACAGACTGTATCTCTAGAAGAAGAAGAAGAGATTGGATTTATACCCCGCCCTTCACTTGGAGTCTCAGAGCGGCTTACAAACTCCTTTCCCTTCCCCTCCCCACAACAGACACCCTGTGAGGTGGGTGGGGCTGAGAGAACTCTGACAGAAACTGCTCTTTTTCAAGGACAGCTGTGCCAGAGCTTGTGACTGACCCAAGGTCACATCAGCAGGTGCAAGTGGAGGAGTGGGGACTCAAACCCGGTTCTCCCAGATTAGAGTTCGCACACTTAACCACTACACCAAACTGGCTCTAAGCAATCAAATAGCAGGGTCTCTGCTGGCCTACTTCAAATACAAGCAGCCTCCCTGGAAGCAAAACTAAAATAAGATCTGCTTGCGGCTAGGGATTCAGAAGGATACTGGAGCTGGTCCATGGCATGCTGGTCGATGGTGCCCATGCTGTTGTAGACCAGGGTACTGCTGAGGAGGACGGCCAGAGCAAAGATCCAGGAGTCGTTCTGAGTGTCACCCTGAGGAACAGAGAATGCTGGAGTTCAGATTCAGTTCCTACCTCTCAATGTACCAGGCATTTGTAAAGGGTGAGTTCAGAGGTCCATTGATTCAGCCAACCGTTTTGTGGCCTCTGCCCGTTCCGAACTGGATTTGTTCATTGCGTTTCATCCTGGAGTGAAGAAAAACCTGGTTCCCAAAAGCACTGAACTTGGGGCAGGTAACCCATATGGAAGACCCCCCAAGCCAGTGATCCGCAGAAAAGTTGGGGAGACCGTTACTGGTTATGCAACCATAAAGAAAACATCCTGCAACTACAGATTCTAGTGTTAAAGCTTCCGGGAGCTCACCTTGATTCATCTGAACTGAAATACCCTTGACGTTTATGCAAATTCTTGGTACTGCTGAAAACCACTAAAGTGTGCCTACAACAGCAACACTCAAAGCAGAATTTAGTGCCTTCCAGTTATTTGCAGTCTCTGTTTTACCCTCTAGCAATGTGGGGGTTTTAAATCCCTTTACTTGTATTTTAAAGGACACTGACGATCGTAAGCAGTGTTCATCTGAGAACGTGCCTGGTAGCGGCGGTTCCCCCCACGCCACACTAACTTCCTTTTTAAACTGCCTTCTGACACAATTCTCTGCAGTCCCTTTTCTGCTTCGAAGTGAGCTCTGATTCACGAGAGCTTATGCTGGAGTGTTCTTTAAGGGGCCCACTGGCTTCCTGTTTAAATATCTGGGGCTTTGAATCACTGGCTGCAAAGCCTGTTCCATAGAGAAAAACATCTGTGAATCAAGCCAGTCGGCATGAATCTTACGGGCACCAGCTTCTTTGGGAATTCTGAGCCCTTGACAGCAGAATTTCAACAGGTGCAGCGTCCCACCTCCTCAAATATGTCCAAATCACCTTTTCCACATCACCGAGTCCCTCGGTATCCAGAAGCACAAGGGTCTGGTCTGGTCTGCCAGGGTAGGGAACACACCACATCCAGATTCCCTTGGTGTTGGCTTGGACTGTCGAGCCCAGAGGGAAACCTGTGCATGAAAATATTAACATTTTATGGACAAGAAATCAGGTGCAAATGAGAGGGTAGCCTCTCCTCTTGTAAGGCTCCAATGCCTGTAAGCAGCACGGGAGAAACAGAAACCCCAAAGGTGCCATTTTCTCTTGTAAGGAGACATAGTTAATAAGTTTGCTGTGGATCTGTTTAAGGCATGGGAAAGATTGTTCTACATTTTTTGGGGGGAAACGGGGGGTTAATACAGGAGGATAGAATTGCATACTGACTAGAGCCAGTGCCCCAAGCAATAATGCAATAATGCGAGTAGTTTTAGTGGATTAAAAGTTCGCAACCCTGGAACTGTAAAGCATGTGAGACACACCTCAGAAACCTGGGCTCAAATCCATCCCCCAAGAGGAACTCTCCTGTTAGTGTTACAACTTGTTATGGGTTTGCCTGCTTGGTAGTTTCTAAGAAAGACGCTAGACGCTGAGCTCCATGTTTTTATTTACTGTTTTTACTGTTTTAGTTTGCCTTAGCCTCCCAAAACATTTTTCTTGGACCTTTTTTGCTCTGTGTTGGATATAACTCTGGATGGCCGTTGGATTTAATCTGGACAGCCTTGGATAACTGAGAGCAGCAAACAATCAACTAATTGACTTAGCTAGCCGGCTGCAATGTTTCCCGGTGTGCTTACTCCAAGGCTTTTAAAGTTTACAAACTATCTTCTTTAATGCCCAACTTCTTTGGGCAGCTGCAATCTTTACTGTTTCAAGGTTAAGGAGAGGCTGCTACCTACATAGAAACGGGTAGGAGTAATCGGGCCTTATGTCTAACAGGAAACGTCGTCGCTCTGCCTCTGGGGCTGCCAGTTTAAAGGAAGGTAAACAACAGAAGATAGACCAATTCATTTCCAACTCCCAGCCAGAAAATATTAGTCTTACCAACAGATATGCTGCTCTGGAGTCGGATTCCATGGTTCTCCTGGGTGACGAAGAGGGAGTCTTCAGCCAAGGTAAAGCAACTGCAGAGCCAAGCTCAAGCCCTAGCTTACATTGTTCTCAGCGGCTGCCAGGTATGATTATGGAGTTATTCTCTAAAGGGGCAATACTAACCTCCCAGTCCATGGCTTTACTGTTAGATAAACTTAAGGATATTGACACTCAAGTAAATGTTGTAAGGGAGGCTGTTAATAACTTGGCTGCTGTACATTACCTAATCAGAGCTGCGGATAAAACAAGGCCTGAGGCAACAACTACAAGGAACTCAGCTGTAAGCACTTTAACGCCAGAAAGTGATACTAGAGGGGCCATACGGGTGTCTAGCTCCCTCATTCTTCAGAGAAATTCTGTGGCTATCCTGTTTGTTGCACAGACTGACTCCTATAATTGGAATAATAAGACAATGATTATAAGATCTCTGAGTCAATTGCTTAAGTGCAACACCTCTGATATTTTATCGAGCTCTTATGATAGGCTACCTAGTATTGGAAGTTATTCTAGAGTGGTTTTACACTTCATAAACGGTACTACTCCCTCGAAGATGCTGGCCTGGGGAAAATTATTTTTTACTAAGCATGAAAGAGTCCTGAATGCACATTCGGATTTCATGGGCCACAGAACCGCCTATTCCGCTGATCTGAGGGATATTACTGTTAAACTTTCTCCCTTCCTCCCCAGATTTAGCCCAGATTCGAATGAACAAATGTCCCTCTCTCTCTCTCACCTGAGTTCTTGCCCGCTAGTTTGTTCATGAGGTAGGACTTGCCCGTTCGGTACAGCCCCACAATGGCCACCACCACCACCGGCTGGCGGATTCCGGACAGCAGCTGAAGGGCTTCCTGATGGACAACCAACTTCCTGTCCTTGTTCTCGATCAGGCACACAGGAGCTGGCATCTGGATTTTGGAGGCCATTGCTCACCGCCTGGATGATCTGTCATTGGGGCAGGAGAGAAGAGAAACAGCAGCAATTAGCGAGCGGGTACATTTCGCACGGATGACGTCTAATAAGAACACTGGAGATGTTACAGTTTCGCAACTGCAAAACATTTTTACAAAGAGCTTATCATGGTCTCCTGAAGAAAACACCACTGATTAAAGAATATGACAGCCACGAGGATCAGAACCCAGGAATCTGCAAGCACCTTTTTGAATCCAGGAAATTAAAGACTGGGTGGAATTATCGTGTAATCTATTCTAGCATTTAGGAACTTCACGGGACACTCTTTGCACTCTAATTATTAGGAGATCCTGCTAGTCACCAGCAGCTGAGTAACACCTCGCATTCCTCTCTGCACATAGCTATTTGAGGCCTCCTTGGGGTGCCCAGAGGTGGTAGCCTAAGGGCTATTTTTCTTAGGAGACCAGTCTGAAGGTTGGGGCACAAAGCTGGGCAGAAGATAAGATAGCAGAGAGAGAGAAGACCCGCTTGGTAAGTGGAAGCCTCCCCTCTCTTTCTGTTTGTTCTGTTGTAATTTTTCACTCTGTATTGTTAGCTGTTTTAGGTACCTCTTGGGGAGGAATGTGGAAAACAGATATACTGAACTATGAATAAGACCCATTGTGGAAATAAATACAACTAGAAAGAGGCTCTGTAGTGGTCCAAAGCAGCTTACATCATTCTCCTCTCCCCCTTTTGATCTGCACAACAACCCTGTGAGGTAGGTTAGGCTGAAAGTCTGTGACTGGTTCAAAATCACCCACTCAGCTTCCACAGGAAGAACACTGGCTGTGGTATCGTCTGGTATCACAACTGAGCTCTAGACAACAGATCTCTCTCCCCCTGGAGAAGATAATTGCTTTGGAGGGTGGATTCTAGGTATTCAGCTGAGGCCTCTCCCCTCCCCAAACTCTGGCTTCTGTAGACTTCACCACAAAATCTCCAGGAATTTCCCACCTGGTGCTGGCAACCCTAGTCAGGACTGGCCCCAATGAGTTCCCCACAAAGGCCAAAGTAGGCCTGGAAAGGGCCTCCTCCCCCTGCCTTTTTACGGACAGAACCAAGCTTGGTTGCCTACCAACAGCCACTGAGGAGAAGGTGAACCGCACAGCAGGAGGAGAAGTAGCTAGCCAGCCATGGAGGAGCCAAGCAGGAGAAATGTCTTCGTCAGGAGAGACGGCAATTTTAGCAGTTTATTCTGACAGGGAACAGTGGCCAGGCTGGCAGTGGGCGTGACAGAGGACCCAGCCAATGGCACGTGAGTGCTTTTAAGTGGCGGCTGACAGGCCAATGATTGATGGAGCGCACAGCACAGCCAATGAGAGGTGGAAAGTGCCAATATGCCAGGACTTTTATATATATATGAGATAATGATAAATAAATACTATGCCAAAGAGCTCACATGAGCAGGTCCTGGAATCCCTTTACACTGCAGGGGATTGCAGGATCAGGCAAAACCCTGCTAGAATGTCCTACTACACTGTCCTACAACAGAGTTCCCCAACGTGGTGTCCATGGGCACCATGTGCCCACCAAGGTTTTTTTTTAGAAGGTGGGTGGGGCCTGGTGGGACTTTACCCAGCAGGACTTCTGACTGGCCACTGCTGATATAACTGACTGTGGCCCCGGTTCACACGGGCCGGAAAATGTGGGAGGGAAGCATGGCTGTTGGCCCCGAGCAAAATAACGCGCAGCTGCCCGATCACACGTCAGGCCCGAAGCTAACGTGGGGCCCACGGGGCCTGGGCAGCCCACTGTTTTTGCGGGGAGCCCTCCCTCTGGCCCCTTCACCCCCTGATCGATCTATCGCCTTACGAAGAAGAGCCGGTATCTCCGTGTTTGCAATGTGATGACTCTCTTTAGGACCCAGCAGCTTGGCAGAGAGAACAGGGGGGGAAATCCTTTTAAAACGCAAGCCTCTAAGAAAGTCCAACAGGGGTAGCGTCACTGCTACAATGCCACACACAATGGTCGGATTGCAGCAGTTTGCTCCTGTTGGATTTTCTTGGAGGCTTAAGTTTTTAAAGGATTGGGGTTTTTTTTCTGTTCTCTCTGCCAAGCGAAGCTGCAACTTTGAGTAGTTTGCATTTTGGAAGGAGCAGCTGAGAAAACCCTTTCTGAAGTTTTTTTTCTCCTTCGAGCACTCCAGAACTCAGAGGGAAGAAAGGAGGAGCTGCAGCTGACTAGGAAAGCGAGCAGATTGTTTTCAACTCCTTTGCTCCCAGCTTGATGGAGGAATTAACCCCACAAGTGCCTACCAGTATGAGTACTGATCCTGCAACCTCTTTCTGCTGTCGGCTCAGCGAAGGAGGAAGGCTCTAGTGGGGGCTGTGTGGGTGTGCACCAAGCAGACCCCGCTTTGCCCGGGAGCCTTTGATTTAATTAGCTGGTGCCCCCCCCCAGGCCCCCTCCCTAAAAAACCCCTAGCTATGGAGCTGAGTGTCCCCCCCAAGGAATTAAAATGCCCCCCGAGTTAGAGATTCCTGGCTACAGGCCTGCCCTGGTGGATGAGAACAGAAGGGCTTCTTTCGGTTTGTCGGCCAGGTTTAATATCATTTTGCTATATTACAAACCGAGCCATTTTGGATGCGCCTCCCTGGTTCTTTGGGAAAGTTTTTTGTCTCTCTGTTTGGCTCGTTAAGGAGGCTACAAGCTTAGCCTCTCATTACATTGGCTCAGTCTGTCCTCGGGGCAAATTTTGAAGGCGGCTCAAAAGGCCAGGAGGGACTGGTGGCCAATGCTCCCTCTAAGCGGTGGAGTCCTGCGAGCAAAATTTCTACCTTGTGAGCTACTGGCATGAAAGTTGTGAGCGAGCGATTTGGCTGCTGCATAGATGAGTTTGGCTCTGGAGCCATCCCTTCCTGCGCTCAGGCAAACATCTGCGAGCTGGAGGCTAAAAAACTGTGCGCTCGCTCACACTAACTCAGCTCAGAGGGAACACTGCTGGCGGCCCCTTTACCATTCTACACCTCTCCTCGGGAGGCCTGGAGGGTTAGGCAAGAGCTTTGTCCGAGCACCCAGCGGAGGGAAGGGAAAGGAGTTGGGAGAGAAAGGCAGACAGGCTTCGGAATGAGGTCTGGCTGGAAGAAGAAACGGAGGCACAGAAACGCTCCCTCTGGGCAGCTGATGTGGGGTAGGGGGGCCTGCGACTCCGTGTGAATTCCTCTGCCCTCCACCCGTCCTCAGCTCTGTCCATGTATTGGTGATTAAGGCAAACAACAACAATTTGGCTACTGCATCAATTAGTTTGCTCTGGAGCCCTCCTTCCTGAGCTAAGACAACAATGTGTGAGCCAGAGACTAAAAAACTGTGAGCCAGCTCACACTAACTCAGCTTACAGGGAACACTGGTTGGGAAATACACTTGGAGATTTTGGGAGTGGACCACGGGGAGGGGAAAGAGCTCCTCCACCCTCCAAAGCAGCCATTTTCTCCAGGGGAACTCATCTTGGTCCTCTGGAGAGCAAGTGTAAAACCTGGAGATCTCCAGGTGCCACCTGGAGGTTGGCACCCCCAACCAGGCTGGTGTTTGTTTTTATGTTTTGTTTGTTGTGTGTGTGTGTCTGTGAGAGAGAGAGAGAGAGAGTGAGAGAGAAACAGCCTTTAGGTTCAACTTGAAGAGGATCAACGGGGCCAAAAGCTCCCCGCCCCCAGGTCCCGATCCAAGCGTGCCTACTCTTTAAGGTCCTCCAAAAGCACCGTTGGGAGCTCGGGACCAGCAACCCGATCCAGCGTCTGTTTCAGTCCACAGAAATCAATGCTCCCTCTAAGCTGTGAAGTCTTGTGAGCAGAAATTCTACTTTGTGAGCTCCTGGCATTCATGTTGCGAGCGAGCCATTTGGCCGCTGCATCGATTCGTTTGCTCTGGAGCCCTATCCTTCCTGAGCGGAGACAAAAATGCGTGAGCCGGAGGCTAAACACCTGTGAGCTCGCTCCACTCAGCTTAGAGGGAACACTGAGTCAGAAATCCCCACTTTTTGAAGCGCGCTGCGTTCCCAGCCCCGATTTCTTCCCGGAGGCTTGGAAGAGGAATCGGGGCATTAATTATGCAGCTTCACCAAAAAAAACACCCCACGCCTGGAGGGCCCGGCCCACGCCTTACCTTCTCCCTGCGGCGGAAACCGGAGCGGGCAGTGTCTCTCCAGCAGCTCGGCCCCCGCTGTCTGCCCGCCTCTCTTTCTCTCGCCCTCCCTTTAACCTCACCGCGTTGGCCAAGCGAAAGCGAAAGCCGGTTCTGCAC